GAAGCTTCAAATGTGCAACAATGGAGTTTTCTAAGTGATTCTGAGTTTGAGAGTGTTTGAGGGCTGGTGAATTCTTGCTTTGGCTTGAAAATGGACCTTATATTTATAGGGAAAAGGTTCAGAGGATGAGGGGACTTGGTTTATAAGTTATCAAGTTTTGGCTTGGTTGAGATGCAACTTGTGTTTTCTTGTGAAATCCAAGTTTCAATGCGTAGTACCATGCCTTCTAGAGTTGTTAGATACTTTAAACATGTTCCTATGAGTTTTTAGATTGAGTGTGTGCATATGAAACAAGTGAGAGGCTCGAGGAGAGTTGATAATTGCATAAAGCACACTTTATGTAAATGGCAATGGTGCCTTTGTGCCATATATGGAAAAATAATTTGGACAATGACTCAAACACTTGGATAATGGTTTAATAAATTGTGTAAACATTTAATTATAGGGATATTTGCAAGCTAATGGACCTGAAAAGTAAGATTATGCATCATGGCTTGAAGATTTGGTTATGAACTTGTCACAAAATGACCTATAATGCAACCTTAGATACCCAACTTCATCTCTTTGAAACTTCTAGCTCAAGCATAATCTTTTTATAATCTTGGACATTTTGGAAAGCTTGAAACATTGTTGGAAATTGGTGGAAATTGGCCAAGAAGTTGGGACAAAAAATTGACCAAAACTTGTTGAAATTTTTTCTAAGCGTTGGATAAAAAACATCACAACCTCATGGGCTCATATCTCTTAAATTAAGCCCTTTTTGAGGATCATGCCACATTAAAAATTGTATAATTCATCAATCCCTATAACTTTCATGTTGGAAGTTTTCTTTGAATTAACTTGTATCTTGAGGAAACTTGCTTGTGAAGTTAGGCTTTTTAGGTATAAAACACTTGAATTTTTTCTAAGTATTTGAAAATCTTGACTTTTGACTTTTGTTTACTTTCTTGATTCTTGATGATCAAGTTTGATAGTTTTGAATATCTTTATGATTCTTGATTTTTAAATTCCAATGTTGATAAAAAAAGTCAAAGTTTGACTTTTGTGTGACTGTTGACTTTTCATCAATTGATTCAATTCTTCAACTATCAATAGTTTGCATCTTTGGAAATGTTTTGAGCCATGTAATTAGTCCAAGATGTTGTGTTTGAGTCCTTAAAATCATGCTTCAAGCCATTAGGTCATGTACTAGGTCAACAGTCAATGATCAGTCATCTTCAGTCAAAACTCTAATTTTGACAATTTTTGACCTTTGATTATTTGAGGAACTTTATTGAGGAATCATGATAAACCCTTGATCAAATGATGAATATCACCTCAAAATGTTGATGTTGACAAAAAATCTTGAAGTTTGACTGTATGTTAACCATATTTGACTTTTCGTCCAATATAGTTGATTTTCAGTCATTTGAGCAATTGATTGAGAAAACTTGTGATGCAAGACTTGAAACTTGACATAAACATTATTGAGGACATATGATGAACCATGAACGTCATTTGAGACCCTTTCAAACCAATTTTATTTGAGAAGCACCAAACCCTAGTTGAAGACCCTTTCTTTAGGAGGTGAGTTTGTCTGATCAACCCTTGAGTAGCTTTGAAGCAAATAGAGACCTCATGAGAATGTCTTGAAAAAAATGAGAGGGAAAATTTTACGGTACAACAACAAATATGTGATAAAAAGATAAACAACATAGTATATATCATCACATATACATAGATAGATCATATAAGAAATTTAAACAACCAAGAGATAAAGTTTATAGAGATCATTATAATAAAGTTGATATACAATGTAATTTGCTACACGAGAAAATGCTAGTGCATAAGAAAATATATAAAAAATAAATAAAAATATAATCAAAGCTCATTCAAAGCTAGATGGATCAAGCATCCTCAATTCTCTATGGATTTTGTGAAAAGGTTTTGCGGAGAGTGGTTTTCTAAAAATATCAGCAAGCTAATTTTTAGTGTCCACATATTCAAAAATTAATTTGTTCACATGATAAATTGTGCCTAATCTCAACATGCCTAGTGTGTGAATGTAAAACGATATTCTTAATGAGACTAATCACAATTAATGAAATGCAACCAAATTTTAAATCATAATCTAGTAGTTGTTTCTTTAGGCGCACACTAGTTACCAGAAGCTTTATATTCGACCTCAGTGGTAAAAGGAGCAACTTTGTGTTGCTTCTTATTGTGTCGAGAAATCAAGCAATTTCCAAATGTGTGACAAGTATCATTAGTATTTTTCTTGTTCGATTTTCACTCTGCAAAATTAGGATCAGATAAGCCTTCTTAGATACATTCACTTCCATTAGGGAACCTAAGACTTTGGTTTGAGGTTCTTCTAATATACCTTGAAATACATTTAATGATCTTAAAATGAGATTCATGCGAGAAAGACTAGAACATAGTGCACATACACACACTAAACATAATAGCAGACCGACTTCCTATTAAATAAAGCATATATCATATTATACCTCTATATTTGGTGATCTCGATCTCTAATCCTTATTCATTTATTAATTAGAAGATTTGACCCCATCGGTATAGATATAGGTTTTGAATCTTTCATGTCATGTTTTTTGAGCAACTCAACGCAATATTTTCTGTAAGGATATTGAACATGTTTTTTTTTCTCCGTTTGCTTGATTTGTAAGTCCAATAAGTAATTGACCTCTCCTACTAGGGACATCACAAATTCTCTACGCATGTTACTAGAGAATTTCCTACACAACTGCTCATTAGTATAATTAAAAATAATATCATTTACATAAACTATGAACTAAAAGAATATGTGATCCTTTATATTTTATAAACAAGGTAGTATATATTGTACCACGAGTAAATCTTTTCCGTAGTAGAAAGCCATTAAGGCACTCATACCAAACTCCAAGAGCTTGTTTGAGACCATAAAGAGATCATTTTAGTTTAAAAATATGATCATGGTTTTCATGGTTCTCAAAACTAGAAGGTTGAGAGACATAAACTTCTTCGTTCATAAAATCGTTAAGGAAGGAGAATTTAACGTCCATGTGATACAACTTAAAATCTCTAGCATGATTGTATTCTTTTGCCCCCAATATTACTTAATTTCTTGTAATTATGTCATTTATATCTAGTTTGTTCCAAAAACCCCATCTAGTGCCTATGAATATTTTATGTCAAGGACATGGGGAAAAGATCTCATATGTCGTTTCTTTTAAATTGATTGAGTCATTCATTACTACAAAATACATTTATCGTAACATGTTATTACATCGGCTATTCAATCAACCAAAGTAATAGATCTTATCTAGACGCCTGCATTTTTTTATATTAAAAGAATTTTCACTACGATTCATACTAATAACCGCAATGATATGTCAAGGCTTACAAACTTCGATTTCCAGCACCAACATTTTTCCATTTTTTCTATACAAAAAAAGAGTGTGTCCCTTAATCAAACAGTTTTGTAAAGGACGAGTCTAATGTGTGTATTTTAAAAAAGGATCATCATCGCCAATTTTTAGGAGTTGAAACAAATCCTTAGACAATGGTATTGCCAATTTGATTAGTTTCTTCTAAAGAATGGTTATATGATAAGTTGGTATGATAATTGTGTTTACATATTGAAGAGTAATGAGAAAATCATTATCTACCCACTTCTATATGTGAACGATATCTTGATAATAAGTTTTTATCAAAGATGAGATTGACAATGCTCAAAGAGAAGATAAATAGTCTATTTAAGATGAAGGATCTTGGTGTTGTTAAGAGGATACTTGAAACAAATATCATAAAAAATTAGGAAAATAGTGAATTATTCTTATCTCACTATGGATACTTGAAGAAAGTGGTGAAATAGTTTTGAATGAGTGAAACTAAGATAGTTAACACAAAGCTTTACATCATGCAATGTCCTCAATGCGAAGATGAGAAAAAAATGGAGAGTACACCCCATATAATTGGGGTTGAAAGTATCATATATGAAATGGGTTGGAGCAGAATAGACTTATTGTATGTGATTAGCATAATAAGCTGGTTTACAGCAAATTAAGGTGATGTGCATTGAAAAACTTTGAAGTAATCTTTGAGATATTTGAATGGATCATTAAAAGACGATTTGAAATGCACAAGAATAATTGAAGAATAAAATATTTTGAAAGAATATATAAATGCAACTATGTTGGAGATGTGGATACTAATTTTTTTTAATTAGATTTTGTGTTTCAATTGTTTGAGATATCTATTAGTTGAAAGACAAATAAATAAATAAAAAATAATAATATTCATACATTGTTCGTCTAAAGTTTTTTTACATATTCAACTAACAGAAAATCAACAATTTATTATGTCATTAAAAAATTTTAAAATTAAAAATAAAATATAATTAAATACATAATTATAATTGATTGACAGTGTAAAATTATTTTACATGATCGGTGCATCACTTTTTTCTCATAAAAAAAATAGGTTGTGTCATTATATACGAATCAAGGGGAGAATATCGCCCTTGTTGAACGAGTGAAAAAAAACATATAGGAGAAGGATACGATTAGGGAGTTAGAAATTAGTCATCAATATATGAAAATATATTGTAATAACCAAAATATCATTCATTTGGCAAGTTGATAAGCCATGAAACAGGTAATCACGGATGGTGCATGACTCTTACTCTGTCTAGTACATACTTGACACGATTCACTCACTCAATTTCAATACCAAACAAATTATAGTAGCCAGATGTTATCGGTTCGAAAGCATTTTGCTCGAACTACAATTGCGGTGAGTTAATAAAAACAAAACATGAGCCATATCCAACACGTGTCACTCATTTTCAACATGTGGAAAGCCTCATCAGATAAGTAATGAATCCGAACAAAACGAAGAAGAAGCCCGATTCTGTCTCACTCTGCATGCATGCATCATCTTGATCTACCACCTTTTAGTATTTATAAGATAAGATAATAAATAAGCTTCATCCCTTGGCTTTGCTTTTTCTATGAGCAATGGAAGATGAAAGGACAAACAGAGATGGAAAGAGGAAAACAAACACTTCTTTAGGAAGAAGAAGTTTAACTATTGGTGGTGAAGGTGGAATTACTGGACTTCTTGTGTTTGGTGGAGCCTTGGCCATTGCAGGTTTCATGGCTGTGACTTCTTTTGGAACCAAAAAACATAAGAAAAAAAGCATTCATCCTCACCACCAACCATATGTCTTGGATGATGATGATAAAGACACTCTTCAATATTCAACAACCCAATTTGGAGATGATGTCACATCGTATGATAAATATTTAACCTAAGTTAATTGCTAAATGCATCTTTTATTAATGATTATGTATGTGGCTTTATCATGTTCAATTTTAATACAATGTTAACATGTGTCAGTTGTTGTTGCAGCTGTTTGACATCCAATGAGTGTGCCAAGACAGATGATTCCTCTGAGTTGCAACCCTTGATTCTGGTGATTTGTCCACCTTTATTCAATGCAGTTGTGAGAGTTTTTGATATATATTGGCTTTAACTTGGATGTTGAATTTGGTTTAGGAGGAGAAAATTGACAATGAACCCAATAGTGATTGCTTTCATCATCATGAAATTGCATTCTCTGACTATTCTCAGCCAGAAAGTGCAACATCTTCAACCGAAAATATGGTTGCAGAAGAAAGTTCGGAGTTGTTTAACAACTCCGGTGATGACTGCGAACAAGAGGAAGAGAAGGATGAATCTGAAGATAGCCTAATAACATCTACTGAAACAAATGATGAGGATGATGACATGGACTCCGATGATGCTACGGAGGAGACTGGGGAAGAAGATAGGTCAGAAGCAACAGAGACCACTTCCCTTGATGACAATGAGGAGTTAATGGAACATGAATACAAGAAGTACTACTGTGAAAGCGATGTTTGCAGTGACTTATACGAAGATGATGGTTCCTACTATGCTTCAAACAAGACAGCACCAAAAGAAGCAATGTGGAACAAAACAGCAAGTTCCCCTGTGGTGCAGAAAGCTCAACCATCAATATTGGCAACCTGGGTTATGCCCATGCTGAAGCTAGGATTTCTAATGCTCTTAGCTGTGCTGACCCGTGGCCTACTGCAATCTCTTTATGTTCTTGATGATGACGACTAATAGCCCCATGAAGTGAATTTAGGATCAATGTTTTGTTTCAAAATGTAAGGATCAACATATATAAATATTATATAATGTCAGAAGAAATGTATGTATGTTTTATGAGTTAGGATCAATATATTTTTTCTTTTATAATGAGTTTTGAAATGGACATTACTATTATCAGTTAGGTTACAAAACCAGAATCTGATAATGAAGGATCAATAAACAAAAATTATGTATATAAAAGAAGATATGGAACTTTTTACAAGTAAAAAAAGAAAGAAAGAATTCGGAATGCTCTTCTGCTGACCCTATATCCTATTAAGAATGCCATTATACCGAGTACTTAATCACACGTTTGGTAGGAATGGAATTAAAGTAAAGATATCCTAGCAAGCTCCTTGTGTAAATGCTGCACAAGTACTTTACAGTGTATACTCCTTTATCCTATCACTCTTTTCTATATACAACAATGCCTTCAGTTTCGAGTTTATGAGACTTTGGCTCAATTGGCTGGATGCTGCCGGTTTATTGGGTTAGTGAATTGGAACAAATATATGAGAGAACTATAAACCAAAACTTAGACATATAAATGTCTGCGATTCTGCGGACAAAATTTAGTTCAAGATCTGATCTGCAATCTTTGGACAAACTGTAGTGAACGTGGCCTTAGTTCAAGATCTGATCTGCAATCTTTGGACAAATTGTAGTGAACATGGCCTAGTGCAACTGCAACCAAATCATCTAGCATTCGAGAACACCATGGTTTTCCATCAAGCTTGGCCAGCTGCAGCCAGTAGACCATCCCAAAACACCCAGTATTTGATCTACTCTAGAGCAAGCATTCACCTAAGGAACAAAATAGCTGTGTAAGTTGACCACGAACACATTCAATGAAACAAGGATCACAAATTAAGAATCAAGCAAAACCCAGTTAGAGATGATACAGTACCAAATTTTCTAAATTTCCTTCTACATGAAATAGCATTACAGCCATTCCCCTTCCTCGATCAATCTCAGCCTGGTCATTTTGATAAGTGAAAATAAATTAGTACTTGTATAATGTCAAAGATATCATCCTATATTTGAGTTTAGTATAATTTATGGGGACTTGGTTTAACCACTCACCACACAAGAACATATGGTTATGTCTGCTGTGGCCAATGCTGTACTGACCTCCGCCATCATGCCTAAAATAATGGTTATTGTATTAGTAACAGTTAAAGAAGCAATGTGTAAACTCATGCTCTTACCCAGTGAATATATTCCTATAATATCATTTTACTTTTATTATTATTGAAGTTGAAAAAATGCAGTTATTGAAAACTTCATTGGCCACAATGTGGATAACATCCATTTTACTGGCATGGAAGAGCAAGAAGCTCACCTCTTCGGTCTATGCATATTATAGATAACCATTGGATGGAGTGTCCTTCTATATTGTGCCACGAGGCAATTTTATGGGCTTTCCATCTTTCTAAACCTGGCAGGACTTCTTTGTATTTTGGATTGTTTACTTGAATCATATTAGCAACATGGTTTCCCTGCAGCATCATGTCCCCTTTGCCATTCAAACTTAAATGATGCACGTGCTTATTGTGTTTTCCATTGAGCTTAGGGGTCCAGGCACTTCCATTCTTATTCTGGAGGACACTCTCACTTCTTTCTGAAGTTGATGTTTCCACACCGTTCAATAATATTTTCCCGCTCTTATCTTTAGAACCACTGGAACCATTTGACAGCTTTTCAGATTCTCTATCTCTGTCAGAATCACTTAGAAAGTCATTAACTGCTTCTGTAGTGATATCAGCAGCAGAAAGTGCAGCTTGTTCCTTCAGAAACTACAGAAAAGTATAAAATGTTTAAAATATAGATATAGCATAAAATTTGTAGGAGTTGGCGAATCATGCTCAAAATTTCTCATGTGACCTACTTTCATTATTTTATGTCTAGCACTCCGTGTTTTAGCATGTTGCAACCATTGCTTATGCCTTTGAAAAGCCGATTTGCTGGAAAGTGCCTGGTAACAAAGTTATGAGCTCCAATGAAGTGAAAGGTGATTATGTATGATATTTATGAAAATTTATGTAAATATGAAAGCCGGAATAATTTCCTTTTACTAGTTACTTGTCAAACCTAAGCCATTAACACAATGTCAACAAGACTTCTAAATCCCAATAAAGAAAATAAACACAATGAATATGAAATAAATCTCTAAAGTTGCTTCCTTAATGATATGGATAACTGAATCCTTAATATATTCTAAAGATACAATAAGATATTACAAACATATTATCATGATATGCTAAGATAGTCAAAAATACTTTCATAACATTCTGAGATATTCATATTCTAAAATAGAATGTTAGTGAATATACAGATTTTAATACCCAAAATATTTGACAGCTCGTGATTAGATATAAATCTGAAACTTAACCGTAGGCAATGAATCATATAACTTGTTTAGCATCACATCTTGCAAATTAGATTTGTGTTTTGGGTTTTTTAATGTGTGCAACCTTTCACATGATAAATAATAAGGATCACCAATTACTCACTTTTTCTCTTTTTAATTACCCTTTTTTTTGTGGTAAGAGAAAGATTACAGAGATGTTAATATATAAAATCAATAGGAAAGCGAGTAATTAACATGTGAAAAAGTGGGCACTTAATAATCCATACACGTGGAAGGTTGCACGTTTTAGAAAACCCGTTTTATGTTTATACTTTCCAGTTGCATCAGATCCATCAATCCAAATAGTAAATATATGGGGTGAATTTAACAATACTGACATTATATGTGATTATCTCTACAACTTCTGCATTAGCAAGCACGCGAGCAGGAGAAACAAGATTGCCATTGACCTGCATTAAACCAAATGTCTTAATAATACAATAATAAAAATGGAATTGCTTTTATCTGTCTTTTACTGACCGATACTTGATTCCATCAGTATGAAAATGGTGATACCTTTGCAGCTACCATCTTGTTGCCAATTTCAGTGTGTATCATATAAGCATAATCAATTACTGTAGCACCTTGAGGAAGATTCCTAATCTACATAAAAATATGGTGAAAGAAGGAAGTATCACAAAACTGCAAATGGTATAATTTCTGATTCAGCATTATTAATTATCTTAAGAAAATAGTTGCGTAGTATACGACATAGTCCACCTTACCTCTCCCCTGGGTGTAAATACAAAGACACGACTGCCCAAAAGATCTCTTGTAACAGTGTCCACAAACTCCCTAGAACTCATGTTGCCAACAAACTCTTCTTGCCACTCCCTAATAGCATTGAGCCACCCAATCTGTAGAAAAGGCTCATGAAATAAGCACCGAGATCTTAATTTTTGGTGCAAAGCCAAGACCACCAGCGTAATAGCATTAAAATTGAGTAATAGTTATACTAAGCTCTCTTTAAAACATGATTTCTATCATAATCAATCGGGGATAGATAGCATACTCTGAGTGCAATGTTGGCATTGCTAAGACACGCTGTCTTCCCCCTCGAGTTTTTACTGCTGGGCACTGCACTTCCAACCAATCCAGTAACAAATTCTCTCCCACTATAATGAGCTGCAATGCCCCTCTCAGCTATCAAATCCATTTCTTCTGTTCTAATCTACAAAAATCAATAATAAATTGAAGAGGATAAACTCATTAGAAAATTTTGAGGTGAACTTCATTTGGATCAGCTAGGGCAGTAGGGAAAATTTCTTGATGAAAATGGAACATGCAAATTTTTTTTTTGAAATAACCAAATAAAGACTACCTGGATTTCAAGCCTGAACATACTCTCATACAAAAACGGAATCACAGTGCTATGAAGACTCTTGTACCCATTTGGTTTAGGGGTTGCAATATAATCTTTCATCTACAAGAAGTAAATCAAATATTTCTTACTAAACCAAAAACTTCTCACCAGTCAATGAAAATATGTTACTCTTAAAACTTATGTATTCTAAATAGAGTAAAAAACAACATACGTACAGATCTAGGATTTGGGGTCCAGATTCCGTGGATCAACCCTAGAACATGATAGCAAATCTGCAGAAAACATGAAAATGAGAGAAAGGCCTTTGATATACCAAGTAAAAGGTAGAGCAAGTGGAGAAAAATCATATGTCAATTGGGTAAGTGATTACCAGCTGTGGACTGCATAAAGGCCCAACCCCAATGCACGACTTTGGTTTAATAATGATACGTAGCTGGATACATCAAACAGTTGATGATTCAATAATAAAACACAATTTATTCAAATTCTTTACAACACGTTGATCAGATGTATGGGAACCTGTGCAATTTGGTTAATCTCATTGATCAAACCTTTAGATTTGAGCACAGCTTTATAGACACTGCAAATAATCAATAATATTTCTTAATTAGTAGTCAGTGAAAAAAGTACCTAAAATTCCAAAATAAAGTATGCACACAGTATGCATGTGATGTGATATCGAACAAATCAGCTAACGTGAACAGGTGGATAAACAAAATGGTTGCAATGGCACTGAGTATCATGGATTAACCTGTAAGGCTCTTTACACACAGCACGAACTTCCGTTTTAACTGTCAAAAGGTCTAAGAATTGATCATCTTGGATTTTCTTTAACAATATTTTGTTTGCCTATTAAGAAATGGAGAAGAAAGAAGTTTAATCACTGGAATGCAATGATGCACAATCACCGAAAAAAGGTTTAATAAATGAACATATAGAGAGAGGTGGCATTGCAGTAATAACTTATCTACTTGTTTATTTTAACAAAAAATTAATATAGGCTGACCAGCACTACCTCTAAAAGATCTTTCTCATGTTCTTTGAATAAGTCGGCAACTCTTCTCTTCACCTTTGCATAATCTTCAGCATTTGTGTACATAAATGATAGGTTTTCTAGTTCTGACTGCATCATAAAAAAAAGTATAATTATGAAGCAGGATCTAAGAGAATTTCCTCCGTGTCATGAAATACATGTATTTTATAATAATGTTGAAAATAAGTATTTCTATCATGAGTTCT